GAAAACAGTAAACGTTGGTGTCAGGATAAATCAGAAAAACGATGAATATCAAATAATGCTTCAAATGCATTGAATATGCCGTCTATATTCATGAAAAAAGTACTAATTTTTCTGCGAATAGATAAGGGGGCCATATGCCACTTATTATCTTTAATAGAGGACTATATTTGAACGCAGTCACCATTACCTGAATTGATCTGCTTTTACGATCCCACCAGAAAATCGTGTTTTGTTAATTATATGAGTATCCTCCTCTAAGTATTAAAATACCAATTAGGTAATGAATTCAGTGCATAATTTAGTGAAGGATTCGGAGCAATGAATGAGGCACAGGAAAGAGATTTGAAGTGAATTCGTTTCAGACATAATTTCCTTTATTTGTTTTATTGACAGCAATAGCAACTGAAGGCAATTTAGTATTCAAGAGTATTAAAGATGATCAACGAGAATCTGTAAGTGCCCATTTCTCTAACAACGCTTGTTATAGGCAAAGTCTATGGTTGCAACTTTCGAATACTTGAACGAAGCCATGGCGACGGCACTGCATGAAGTTCTTATTTCAGGAGGTCCTGCTTTGGAATTTACCTCTAATAATTCAGGAACAGTGTCTTTCTGTCGGGTGGATTGGAGTGTTATCGAAGATAAACAAAATTCCTGTGGCTTTTTGCAATCATTCATCTTTAATTTATCCTCGAATGGCAGTCAGTCAGACTTTATAATCAGAGTAAGTTGTCCTAAGTTAATTTACTGAGCTCATAGACGAGTAACACAACCAGTGACGTCTACGCTTTCTTTGGTGACTCTCGTGAAAGTCCGAAATCAGAACTTCTTTCCCTCTCTATATATTCCATGCATGGCCTAAATTTTTCTGATGAAGCATCAAAATTTCGAATTAAGCTCAAGAAGGTAACTGGTCAATAAAATGAAAACACTTTTTCAAGAGACTTAGTGAAAGTAACAACTCCATCAACGATGAGGAACAGCTCTACTTGCCTGATCCACTAGTCGCAATCGATGGCTCATTGATACATCAATCTTTAATAATGCACGCGTTTGAGGTGGATGATAGCGACAATAGCGATTTTGTGTTTCAACTTGAACCAAATGAGATTTCTTCATGTCCGCAGTACTTGGTCATAGCAAGATTCGTTATTCCACCTAATCTGCGCCAGCTGGATGACTTTGGACAATTCTTCTGGACTATGCTTCCTACTTCGATCTCAAAATGCAGTGAGTTGTGATGGTCATCAATTCACTAACTGAATCTCTAAATCCTATAAGTAAATTTAATGAGTTCACTTTCAGATTCTAGTAAGTGGGGTGAAGAGGGGCTCTTGGATTACGCTTTATATATACAATCTAGTGAATTAACAAATCTGAAATCAGATGCTATAAGACGAACTAGGCATATGCGACTCAAGGCATCAGAAATCAATCGACTTTATATTGGATACAGGGAGTTAACTGTTGAAGAGCAAGACCTCTATAATGAAATCAATCCACCTCCAATTCCCTATCGATTCACCAATCAGATTAACACGACGGCACGTGTTTTTGTGAGTCAACCGTCGTGTGTCTATTTACATTCGCGGGATGACCACTGGCAGACAAATGGATGTCAGGTAAATTGTTCCCTTCGAGTCGTTAATTGATAAATTTCAGGTCATACCATGGCCAAATCGTGAGGAAATTCTCTGCGAATGTGCACATCTGGCAGTATTCGATACAGAATAACGAAGAGGACTAAGATGAAAGATTTGTCGTTTAATACTACAATCAACTACTTTGAGCAATACTATCCAAAATATTGTAATTACTGTGCAACCATATTCAACAGTTCTATTGAGTTCCAATTCTGATATCAAGAAGTAGCAGCACATTCTGCTCATGACAAGATTCGTCTTTCTTCCACCACACTCCACTCATCACGAATTCACTTACGTTTCTACTGCTTCAATCCCGCATATATTAATCAATACATTTCCATCTTTGCCCTCCAACACTACTCTCGTTACTTTTAATTAATCCTTATGTTATTAATGTTAATACTCTTGTTGTCATCATCAACGTCTTTGTCAACAGTAGCATTCGGGAGAATTATTAGCAGAGGGTTGGAAGTGCATATCAAGTGAAAGCGAATCATGGTATTACTTCTCTTCCACCATACCTTTTCTGTTGGGGGCCAGTAAAAGTCAACTAAGGATAGGACGTTTACTCCAAATGAAAATGCTAGTCTTCATACCAATGTTTTATTGGTATTACTATACAAAGTAAAGTCAAACGGATACATAATCTATTCAACTTTGCGTATTCTTTTCTCTCCACTTGTACCACTCACCACATGCACAATTTGGCATTCCCATCTGCGTGCTTGCACTCATCTTAACATCCTCCCCCACACTACATTTCAACATACATCATCATTGGACCTCATATGTATTAATACCACTCACTGCAGGTGGCTTTTCATTGGCTCCCAATTTCGCTCACATGAAATCGTCCAGCATCCATACTGTGGCATATATGAATTCCAAAAGTCAAGCGGCAATGTCACTATGACCGTTTACATTTTAACATACTCACACGCGTGTTGCCTCACCACTCCACCGCATCCTAATTCTCTCCATTTAACGGACCCTTGAAATTGCATAATTTCAAACCACATGTGTGTGCGTAAATACCCTTCTTTCGTCACAGCGATCTTAATCCCGAAATATGTCGAGGAAATGGAGGAATTAGGTCCATTTACTTAATTAGAATTACGTTTATGAGGGAAGAAAATTATTATCATTATTTCAAATGGTATGCTTTGTGATATTTATCATTAGGTCTAAAATTTTGACTTCAGCTTCTCCCAAGGGTGGGGGGGGGTGCATTTTTAGCATTTAATTAATAGCAGTTCATTAGCCGTCTTCTTGCTTCCCAGTATCTCTGGCCCTCCGCCGTTGTCTATAGAGCTGGACATCGAATCAGGTGGATCTTCTCCATTTCCTCCTGTAGGTTACATAGAGGGCATGTGAGTTGAGTGTATACTCCCAATCTGTGAAAGTGTTTTGCCAAGCAATCGTGTCCGATACGTAGTCTAAACTCAGCAACGGCTTCGATTCTTGGCCAGTCGGCTATGTCGGAGATTGCCACTGTCCACTGTTTCTCCTTTGTTCGAGCTTTGAGTTCGTTGCACCTTGAGGTCTTGAATTCTCACCTGATTAAGGTCTTCATTTTGTGGAAAAACATTGGGTGGTCTATGCCTTACAAAATTGTTGTCGCCTTCCTAGCAAATGCGTCAGCAAGCTCATTGCCTTCAATGCCACAGTGACCAGGAATGCATTGTAGGTCATCTGTAATTGTACTGTATTTAAATATACCCAAAGTACTAGCCAACACCGGCATTGATGACTGTGTTTATAGGTGCCTATAGATTGTCTGAGCATACTTTACTGCTCTTAATAGTGCTCTCGCTCAACCCACTCGTACTTTGTTAATGAATAAATCAAAAAGAATTTCTCGCTGGGACTTTCACAAATATTTCAGTCGAGTAACCGAAATGTTTGCTGATGTATCAAATGGGAACAGGTTATTTGTGTAGAAGACAACGCAATGCCCCCTATATTGATTGTTATGGGCTGCTCTGCAAATAGGAAACTACATACTATTTTATGCGTGTTTTAATTTTGTTATTCTGATGGTCAGTATACAAAAGTTGGCTATTGGAATGAAAGTAAGCATAGTCCAGTTGAATGCAATATGTCATACACAAATATTGCTTGGGCCCGTAACCTATTCTAGTGGTTTCATCAACATCCACATTAAAAAATTAAGGTGTTGTTAATGAGCTTTCTATAATTTCCAATTTCCACTTCTTCGTTCCTTGAAATGAGCGAATTTCAATTCTTCATCATCAAAAGAAGTGAGTGATTTGTAATTGGCCATCTATGTAGTATTTAAAAGCCCTCATTTTAAGACTTATCAGTCATGTGTTTAGATCATAATTGTCATGCGTATTCAAGAAGGCGTATCTAAATTAGCTTAAACTTAAATGACGGCTGATTTTACAACTTAGTGAACTGGAATCTTCCGTGCGTAAGAAGATGTGCCTTTCACCCTTTTAATCCACCATTTGCCATCATCTTAAATCCGAACACGTTGAGAGAGCATCTTGCCCTCAACTTATCAATAAGCATGTTATTGATACCTACCCCCAAAACGACCATCTTTTTTCTTAGGCTGTTGGATTGCATATTATACTCAACAGCCCACATTACCGTTTCATTAGTGTTTATGCAATCTCTTTGACCATTTTAAGTGCTCTGCTTGTGCTCCATTGATTCCTCAACGTAAAATAAATCAATAAAATGCAGTTTGTTACTAGTTCCTTTCGAAGATCATGCATACAAACAAATAAGCTAATAGTACTGAGAATAAAGTACCTCAGAGCAGGTAGATTCTAAGGTCAAATGCAAATCAATAATAATTGGGTTCTTTTAAGTTATAATGTCAAACACCTAATTATATGCATGCTACTTGATTTAAGAAAATGTGATTAAATTAACAATCAGTTATAATACACTCATTTGCAACAAAGTAATTTCCAAATTGATTCTCTTAATGGGGTTAGTTAATTGAACGTGATTTATTTTGATTAAAAATGAATATTGTAATTCCTCTTACTTAGTGAGATGGTAAATTATGAATTAAAACAACAGCTCAACAAGTACGGAACCTATGAATTAATTCCTTTTTAAGCTTCTTTGGTCTATTAAGGGAAACTGAACATTCGAAAGCCAGAATAACGTGCTTATTTGAGACAGTAAGTATATCTACGCTTTCATGATAGAGAAAATTAAAACACCCGATGCCACATACTCTTTTTATCTCTTTGTCTGAGTGGGGTGTGCGGTAGACTTACCTCCACGTGGTGCACCCTGGGCAACGTATACTCATACGCCAAGAAAAGTCCATTAACTGGCAGATGACTTCTGACTTCAAACTACTCTCACCCCATCGTATGTCATATTCGACCACTTCCACAGAACTCGCCTCACATTTTTCTACTTTTGTGTCTCTCTCTTTTACATCTTAAAAACTCTCTTCTGTTCCCCCTCTCCCTCTACACTTGTTTCACTTTGATCTTCCTTCCCCTCTATGAAGCCTGAAGTCAACTGAAGGGCTAATGATAACTTTCCCAACGCCTGCCATTTGATATAAATAAATCTCTCTCTCTCTCTCTCTGAGTAATCAAGCTGCACTTGATTTATGCGCTGTGTTGAATAATAGGCGGAGGAGGTGATATGATCAAGGTAGACGGAAAAACCAATTGCGATTTCATTCCAAGGCACTTTATTGGAAAAAAAAGGCATTCAACACTCGGAGGTTACGGAAAAAGGAAGTACCTCTGCATTGGTGATTTTAAGAGTACTTCAAACAGTAAAGATTGAATAAGAACTACATGATACACTATAAAAAGTTTACTTCAAACCTAAACCACTAAAAAATCGAAATCATGAAAATTGAGTGAGATGGAGGTAGGGAAATTAATTTGGATGAGAAGAAGATGGGTAATAACTTATCACAAGCATAGAACAAGTATAAAATTGTGTATTTCCATGGTCCGCATCGAATTTATGGATGAACACGATGGTGGTGCTCGTGAAAACGTATATCATCTTCGCACACAAATTTGCAGAATTTGCAATATTTAAATCCATTCTCAATTAGTTGGCCAACGTGTGGGTTTAACGATGCCATCTTAATGTCGAATTCTGTCAAACTTCCCAAATATTCTTCTTTTTGGGGGCAATAACTGCACTGGTAGAGCAGAAGTTCTGAACGACAGGAAGAGATAACAAAGGCTCTAACGTACCTGCGTTGGTTTTGGAATGATTTTGAGCATGTATAACTTTGCAAGATTTGCAATCGAGACTAATTTTAGTACTTTCGACTACAATTTAACATTCAAAGAGTGAATGCAAGCCTTACTTTCCGCCTTTTCATCAATCTTCGGTTTACTTTCCATTTTCTCTTTTTTTGCCATCTTCGCCATAATAGCTTCCACGAAGCTACTAGACTATTGCTATTTCAAGAAAATGAAACGTTCAACTTACGTATGAACTACATGGCATATACGGATCTGGCTTTAAATCGCCAAAATCTACTCGAGAATTCCCTTTTTTCCTTTCAATTTCGTCTATTATAATCTCCAATTGCCTCTCTATGTCATCCTTAGAAGTGTCCTCAGACTCTTTGTTCAATTTGCCATTGCACATATTCAGGCCGATTTTGAAGTTAAATTTAAACTCCAAAGAAGACGTCCACTAGACAGCAGAGAGAGAGAGAGAGAGAGAAAGAGTGAGAAAGAGTAAATTTATGCATTTGGTACTTCAGAAGCTGCACTTTATTCTCCTATTCTTGATTGGATTGGCTAATGCCAACGGACTCATTTAGTTCTTTTACTAAAGTAACTACTGTATCAGTAAATTTCATTCAATAGTTCCAACGGTGGCAAATCTACAACAAATCTACATTTTAGAGAAAAACTCTAATTAATCCATGAGCTTCATATTCGTGCGTTTGAATATTTTTTATTTTTCTTGTTTCAGTTTCATAGTGATTAGCTGCACATGGACCACTTATGATGTCCCAAATTGGTTTTATG